GCATTTGGAATCGAACCAGACCCCGAGATATTTAAAAGACATGGAATGAGTGATCGGTTTACCCAAAAGTTGAAGCTTCGGTTGTGCTGGGCTATGCTTCCTAGAAAAAACGACCAACTCAGTTTTCTCCGTGGAGAATTCGATACCTAGCTGAATAGCCCAAGTAGACAAATTGTCTAAGGTATCCTGTAAGGGTCCTTTCAGGTTGACCCCTGTGGGCCCTGTCATAGAAACTACGCCATCATCTGCAAGTTGTCTCAACGTGCAGTTGTCACTTAGACAATTGTCAATTTCTCTGACATAGAAATTGTACAAAAGGGGGCTTAAACATGAGCCCTGGGGGAGACCCATGTAACTAAATCGAGAAGCTGTAGAGTTTCCATGAGAAAAGCTCATATGTTTCTCTGACAGCAAATTGTACAAAAAGTTATTAATTAATGGGGAAAGGCCACAAGCGTGGAGTTTGTCTGAAAGAACTTCAACGGATACTGAATCAAAAGCCCCCTTAATATCCAAGAACACAGAAGCAATTTGCTCTTTTTTAGCAAAAGCCAACTGGATTTCTGTGGAAAGCAACGCGAGACAGTCGTTCGTTCCCTTACCCCTACGGAAACCAAATTGAGTACCTGAGAGTAGGTGGTTCGTCTCAACCCATTTGTCTAGGCGAAAAAGGATCATTTTCTCCAACAATTTTCGAATGCACGATAACATCGCGATGGGACGATACGAGTTATGATCTGCCGCGGGTTTTCCAGGCTTTTTAATGGCTATAACTCTCACTCGCCTCCAATCATCTGGAACAATATTGAACTCCAGGAATTTTTTTATTTTGACAGAGTGAAATGAAATATGCTGAATTTTCAGCAATCTTGTCAAGTTGCTGGTTTTCAGTTAAAACGAACCAAATTGCTGATTTTCAGTAAAATCGTAGATTGCTGATTTCTTTTCAGTAAACCATTTTGCTGAAATCTTTCATCAATTTTTGGTGTGTTGGGTTACTACGAAACCCTGCACAGCAAAAAATAATGGATATTACATGACGTGTAAACCAAAAACATTTTAAAATTACATCGCAATAAACTATGTTTTAATTCAATTTTATATTAAAAATCATGCACATAATACAAACATGATGAAACTCATAAAATTACACGTTTATTCGATTAATTTTCTCTTGCAGTGTAATATCACCACGTGGACGGACCGATTATTCCATCAGTTTTTTCTCCGCTCGGTTTGTTTTGTTTTGTGCGCTCAGTTTTGGTTATGTGGAACGATTTATCGTGCATACGCGCATCCACAAATAGAAAATGGATGACAGACAAAATAGTGATTACAGCGGATTACAGAGAGCACTTTTAGTTCGTGCAGAATATAAAAAATATGCACACTTAGAAATAACTAATTTTACACGTGACAGAATCCGTCGTTGACATAAAAGATGAGACGTAAACAAACATGTCATGTAATATTAAGTGCTCCGAGACTGAAATGTTCGTTGCTCGACGAAATCTACGTTTGATTGAGCTATATTTCGCGTCTCTTATGACTCAAATTTATGTCAAAATTGACGCTCGTATATGTCACTCTCAGAGCACCTAAATTTACATGATTTTTTCTAAGTGTGTGGATATGGAAAAAATAGAAAAACATTCAAAAATGCGCTCGTGGTTCCTTTTTTCTCCTGACTGATCGTTTTGATGCAGCGGTGGAAGTGTTGGGTATGTACTGTGCCGTAAAGGCGGGTTATTTCACGTGGGTGATAATTCCGCGTACTTGACAAACAGTTCGATTTTATGCAAATTCGTTCAAAAAGCCAAATGCGTGTAATTCTAAATGCCCTGTAGAATTACAAAGTGAGCCCATCTAAAGCTATCCATGTAAAATTCAAGAGACGTTTAATTTTACATGCATGTACATTTCAAGTCGTGTAAATTTAAAAACCAATTTAATTTTACATGAATATGCATGCTCGTTTTATGTGCATGGAAATTCGTGTAAAACTACAAAATAATTTTAACTGTGTGAGCATCGAACGGAAGGAGAAATGCTGTCAGAATAGATGTTCTATTAGTGATCAAGATCACAAGCGTGTCATGAAAGCGTTTAAGTGGAATCCCAATGCTTCGGTCAGGGATGTGGCCAAAAAGTTGAATCTTGTCTCGTTCAGAGAGCCAAGGATCGAGAGGGAGTTTACTATACGTGATTTGGCAAGCGATCTGCTCATGTGGCAAACGGAGTGCACCGTTCCTGACTACCGGGAGTGTAAACGGAGAGATCTACCTCAAGGAGTGTCTACAGAAGTGTCTGCTTCCTCTGTTGAAGTAGCACGAGGGCCCTACGATCTCCTGGACGGATCTAGCTTCGTGCCACTATTCAAATGTTGCCCTGGAGTGGTACGAAGCCAACTTTTGTACCCAAGAACATTATTTTGTTATAATGGTCCACAAATGTCAATTTGGAATCTAGAATAACACCTAAATCTCTTACATTTTCACATTTTTGAACATTTTCATTACCTAATGTAATACGTGTTACTCACTGCGTGTGCTCTCTCTCTCTAAGACTACAATGCCCCAGGTCCCTGGTCTAAAGCCACGGGTACCAGACGGGGTAGGCTATCCACCAGCCTCTTTTGCGGCGACTAGCTCCGGACAAATAGGGGACACTGATCAGCAAATGCAAACACGGTCACCTAATATTTCACTATTTAACTTTTATTAATTAAAACCTACTTACAAATTCTGGGGGTGTGTGTGTGTGTGTGTAAGGGCCGGCCGGCACGTGGATCTCTGCTGCGGGGAATCGGACGGGGCGGCTACGAGTGCGATCGGATGATCGCTGATATTGCTGCACGTCGGCGGCGTCGGCGTCACTTGCGCTGGACGCAGGGGACTGCTGGTTGAGTGCGATGAATGGCACGATTGCCACGGACAGTGGTATCAGTGCAGGATGGCACGAGGTTCTGTAGCTGCGAACTCCTCGCGGTACCAGGTTTCCTACCAAGGTTGAACGTCGGCTCGTTGGCACGTATAGCCGGTCGATCGAGCACTACCTGGCCTAGTGCGTTCTCGGACTGATTTCACAGACCGTGGCCTGACTCAGGCTTTACAGCCGGTTTTGAGGTAAAACTCAATGGGTCCTGAGGGCACGTGGGAAATAGGAAAAGGGTCTGATGAAAGTTATGCTACCGGAGTCCGTTTTATATAGTCCTACCTGATTCTACGGTTTCAATAGATTAGGCAGCTTTGTTTTTTCCACCCGTATTTGACTGTGCACTATTTTTTTACACTTTGTGCTTCAACTTGGTGAACTTTTCCCAAAATGTCCCTTTCCTTCTTGATCCATTAGTCCCATTCCAAATTTCCCTTCTCCTCCATGATCCGGGTGGTGGGTGTTGTTTTCTGTATGTTAAGTGTAGGTGTATAACAGTTGGTATGTTTCTGTATTTAATTCGACCGTTCATACTGGAGTTCATTTAATTCAGTTCCCTAATTCCTATCTGTTTTATGTATATGAATGAGCCATTAGTGCTCTACTATTCATTCACTGTTTAGTTTTAGCAACAATATGACTAATAATATCATTAATTCTAAGCAAACATTAGATCAATCATTACTGATTATAAACTATCATGGTTCTCAGACATTAGCGCACCGAACAGCAGTATACTAGTGGATTGCTGTCTCGTTCGGTTGAGTGCTCGCTCTTTATAGCACTGCTATCTCTCTGCTCGAGCTTTTTTCATAGGGCAAAGTACCCAAACGGTAACATACGAATATTTTGTTTGTTTAGTTTTCTACTGTACGTTATAAGATTACATTTTTTAATATTTCGTTTCAATGAACTTTTACTACACCATCTGTAAAACACATGTATTTCATTCTGAAACACATTCACGTTGTTATCGCTTCCTATTTCTAAAAATAGCTTCATGTCATCAGCGTAAATAAAAGAGACGTCATTAATGTACAAAATAAAAAGAAGGGGACCTAGGTTCGAGCCCTGCGGAACCCCTGACGTGACATGAATTGGCTTAGATGTTTTCTCGTTGAATCTTACAATTTGCTGGCGATCAACTAAATACGATTTAATCCAGGTGAGAAGCTCCATCTAAATTCCCATTTTTTCTAATTTAAAAACTACAAGGGACAGCCCTATGGGGTTGTACGCAATGGTGACGTAGGACTACTTAGTCTTATATAATAAATGGTAATGTGTATTTTTATTCAGCCAGGTATTAATCTGTACCATATTTTAATTATTTTCCTTACCTCATTTTTATGTTTTCATTTTCTGTTCTATTTACCATCGTACAGATTTGTCTGGATTCTGATGAAATATTGCTTGGAGCCAATGCCCATGATTGTGCTGGGTAATTAAAATTTTTATTCAACAGATTGCGTTCAACGTATCCACATTGTATAATGGCTGCATCAAGCAGATCGCTCGTGAGTTCACCGGAGGAAAGGATCCTCTCAAACAGATGGCCACCGGAGGAGTGAAGAAGTCTCATCGCTACCGGCCAGGAACTGTCGCTCTGCGTGAGATCCGTCGTTACCAGAAATCGACCGAGCTGCTGACTGCAAGTTGCCTTTCAAGCGTCTGGTCCGTGAAATCGCCCAGGACTACAAGACCGATCTGCGCTTCCAGAGCTCGGCCGTTAATGGCCTTACAGGAATCCAGCGAGGCCTATCTGGTCGGTCTGTTCGCCATCCACGCCAAGCGTGTCACAATTATTTCATGTTCCATTTTCGGTTTTCACAAAGTGTACCTCCATATAGAAATCACAGACGTCAAAACCGTACGGTCGTGTCATAGATACAACCTCTTATTCTTTTTGTCAACATTATTTTCAAAGGCAAATCAACTGATTTCTTATCGCGAACTTTGCTAACGCTGCTTTCGAACATTTAAAAGTTCAATAAATCATCAAAACCTTTCACGTTGGAAATCGATTCGTGGCCCTGAAAAGGGCCGATTGATTGTTTGGATGGTACGAATGTACTTTGAGCTGATGTACTTGGTGACGGCCTTGGTTCCTTCAGAGACAGCGTGCTTGGCCAACTCACCCGGCAGCAGCAGACGGACCGCAGTTTGGATTTCGCGGGACGTGATCGTCGAGCGTTTGTTGTATTGAGCAGCAATACGTTCGAAGATGTCATTGACGAAGCTGTGCATGATGCTCATGGCCTTCGACGAGACTCCGGTGTCCGGGTGGACCTGCTTCAACACCTTGTAGATGTAGATGGCATAGAATTCCTTCCTGCGCTGTCTCCTCTTCTTCTTCTTTCCCTTGCAGATGACTTTCTGCGCCTGATAGTCGTTTCGACGGTGGTGTCTCGTTTTGTGCCCGTAGCATAAGAAGCGAAACTCCTCCCCTTTTCAGTATTTTGCCGTATGTATTGTTCCCTCCCTGTATTAATAATATGCTACTCGACGCAGGTATAAGTATACCCTCGACGAGTCAAATAAGCCATATCCGTGGCTGACGAAGAGTGCGTTCGACGAGTTCCTGTGAGGGGTAAGTTTCAAGCAATTGATTCCCACACCAAACTCTTGATTCGGCTCAGAAATGTTCGTAGACGCCAGTTTCAGCGGACTGGGGATCTGCAGCGTAAATACGAAATGGTCGATCTGAATCGGCAGATCGCTTCCAGAATGGTCTCAATCCGGAACGAGAGTTTCGGGCGGCTCGTTCAGAACCTGGACGACCGTTCCAGACCATTCTGGAAGGTTGCCAAGGTGCTGAAGTCTCACCCCAAGCCCATTCCACCACTTAGAGTCAATGACGAACGGCTTATCACCAACGAAGAGAAGGCCAATGCAATTGGGGAGCACATTGCCCAGTCGCATTTGCTTGGCTCTACAATCCCAAGTCCACTCGAGAACCAGGTTGTGCAGTGCGTCCAGACGTTAGATGCCTCCCCTTGTGCCGTCCCTCCAGAAGAACGGATTACAGAGGAACAAATTTGCTCAGCGCTGAAACACAGTAAGAACATGAAGGCTCCCGGGTTTGACGGAATATTCAACCTAGAGTTGAAAAATCTCAGCGCGAGGGTGCACTCGCTGCTGGCTGCCATCCTCAACAGATGCTTGGAGCTGCACTACTTTCCAAGCATCTGGAAGGTGGCAAAAATCATCCCGATCCGCAAACCTGGGAAAGACCCTTCACTACCGTCAAGCTACAGACCGATTAGCCTGCTCTCAGCGCTGAGCAAGCTGTTCGAAAAATTGATCCTCAGCCGACTAAACAAGTTTGTGGAGGAACATGACATTCTTCTTCCGGAACAGTTCGGGTTCCGCAAGGGGCATTCCACCAATCATCAGCTAGTGCGGGTGATGAATAACATCCGAAGTAACAAAGCTGTATCCAAGTCCACAGCCATGGCCTTGTTAGACGTCGAAAAGGCGTTTGACAATGTCTGGCACGACGGACTTATATACAAGCTTTGTAACTCCAACTTTCCACCATACCTTGTGAAAATCACCCGTAACTATCTCCAGCAAAGGTCGTTCAGGGTGTCGTTGAATAGTTCCCTTTCGGGACAATTTCCGATCCCAGCAGGTGTTCCGCAAGGGAGTCTGCTGGGACCACTGCTTTACAGCATCTACACGTCGGACATCCCTCCTCTAGGAGACGGTTGCGTGTTCTTTCTGTTTGCAGATGACACCGCGATAGCCGTCAAGGGTAGGATGCCTCGTGAAATTACGAACAAGCTCCAACGATGCCTTGACACCTTTACTGATTATGCCACCACGTGGAAAATCAAAATCAACGCCTCGAAAACCCAAGCGATCATGTTCCTTCACAGACAATCACCAAAACTTAAACCGTCTCCCTCCTGTACCGTAATAATGGATGGTACAAGGGTCGAGTGGTCCACTGATGTTACTTATCTCGGGATGTTGTTCGATGAGAAGCTCCTGTTCCGCTCGCACATAGAGAAAACCCTAGTTAAGTGCTCCGCCTTGGTTAGGTGTTTGTATCCGCTCATTTGCCGCAGATCCCGCCTCTCAAGGCAAAACAAACTGGCTGTTTACAAACAGATCATAGCCCCCGCGATCTTCTATGCCGCCCCGGTGTGGGAATCGTGCGCTCAGACCCACAGGAACAAAATCCAGGTTGCACAGAATAGAGTGTTGAGGATGATCCTAGATCGTCCATTCGACACAAGAATAGCAGACCTCCATCAAGAGGCAGAAATTCCCAAAGTAGATTCCAAAATTGATGATATGACAACTAAATTTATTCAAAAATCCAATCTTTCTGAACATGCTTTAATAAGCAATTTGTACATAGTAGGTTAAGTGTATATAGTAGAGTAGGTTAGTTTTAAGCTGTAAATAGTCGTATTAAGTAGTTTCTCTTCAAATTCTAAAAACAAAACAAACCAATCCCACCAAGGTGGTCGACCGTGTACTAAGTCTAGGACTAATTCTGTAAAACAAATTTTGAATTTTGCCCATACCTAAAGATGAAGAAAGCAATTAAATCACTTAGTAAAAATTTATATGGTAATCGTCCAAGTTAAACTAAAATAAAGATCATTTAAACTAAAAAACTCAAATAAACCGACCTATCTGGACGGTCTGTATGCCATTCACGCTAAGTGTGTCACAATTATGCCAAAGGACATTCAGCTGGCTCTTCGTATTTGTGGTGAACGCTCTTAATTTCTCCGTTGAAATCTATCAAAACCGGCCCTTTTCAGAGCCACTAAAAGATTCCACAAGAGAGTTGGGAAGGAAATTTCTGCTGCTTACAACTCCCTACTTTATGCTCAGTTAGCAGAAACGGTAACCACTGAACTACCAAACCTCGTCGTAATGCTACATCGACATGTTTCGTCTAGGAATGATTCTCTGATGACTGTGTTGGGGAAACAGTATATGCATGTACGTAATTGGTGGATTTGTTAGTTAATTCGACGCTTTTGGACAATGCTGGACATTTACCAGTTTTTCAATAGTTTCTTGTTGAAAATCAACATATTTCTGATCGATTGGTGATAAAATTATTGAAATTGGTCCAGAGGCAGCTGAGTTATTAACGTTCAAAATCTTTCGTAATTTGTTACATGTTACATTTCGGTTTTCACAAAGTGTACCCCCATATAGAAATCAAAGACGTAGTCCTACGTCAAAATCAGCATTAGGATATCAATTCTGTCAAACGCTTTGCTGAAGTCTGTATATAGAGCTTCTACTTGGTTACCTCTGTCCATTGCATTTAATACAAAATCCACAAATTCCAAAAGATTTGTGGTGGTTGAACGGCTTTTGAAAAAGCCGTGTTGTGCACTAGTTATTCTTTGTTTTATTTGGCCAAAAATGTTTTTATTTATAATTGATTCGAAGAGTTTTGGAATGCACGAAATGATAGCAGTCCCACGATAATTTCGAATATCGGATTTTTTACCTGATTTATATATGGGTATTAAATAAGATTTTTTCCATTCTTTCGGGAATATACCGGATTCAAGCGACATATTAAACAGCCAGAATAAAGGGGCTGTAAGTTCAGTTGCTAAGTTTTTCATAAAAATAGGTGGGATTCCATCTGGTCCTGAACCTTTAGTGGCGTCCAAATCTCGTAGGCCATTCCATATATCATGAACCGAAATGTTATTAACGCCAACAGTAGTTGAAAAGTGAGGAAAATAAGAAAAATATTCATAATCACATATGTTTCTTTTTCCCCAATGACTGGGAGAAGAAAACCCTCATTACCCGAATCAGGAATAAAATCAGCACTGCGTTGATTGAAATCTCCACAAATATGAATTTAGAATTTAGGGGGAAATTGAAATACGATTTCTTCAGCTATTTGGAAAAAGGTTTCTAACGAGGACTTACAAGCGTAGTCTGGGGGAAAAAACCCAACAAACAATTTTAGCTGCAGCTTAGCTTATACAGGCAAAAATTAGCTGCATAAGGCAAATTTTGGCTGTATAAGCTAATCTGCAGCTAAAATTGTTTGTTGGGAAGACTGCGGCAAAAATATGAGTTTCACCAGCTATATTTGTCTTTACCCACACATGCTCAAATTCTTCTACTTTTGATGAGACAATAAGTTCTGCAATAAATTTTGAAGAAATAGCAATAAGAACTCCACCACCTAACATTATTTGGTTTTCGAGTAAGTCACGATCTTCTCTGAAAACATTATAATCATTTCCAAAAGTTTCCTTACTTTTAATGTTCTCGTTCCAACTAGTTTCAGTGCCCAAAGTAACTGAAAAAGAGGAGCTCAGTATATTTTTATAAATTTCATTCATTTTTGTTGCGCTTTTCATACGATTAAAATTCTGACAATATACCACAATTTCCGTAGAATGTGTTTCAGATGAAACTTTTGTTTGCTGTCATTCCCACTAAAGGATTATCAATATCTAAGTCCCTTAAGTACTCGTTCCCTAGATAATAACGTCATGATCACCGGTATAAAAATGAAACTACAATGTGTAGAATCGTAACTTACCTAACTAAAAAACCAAATATTTAAGTAAAGTAATCGATGCAACCAATTTAATACCTGATGAGTACATTTTTCAGAGCACATTTGTTAGCGAAATATTTTTCAAACGCTTGTTCTATAATTTGCGAATCATTAATTTGACATTTAAGTGCGCTGTTTATTTAACCAATGAAATGTTGAGTATGTTTGCAGTGCAATTTTGCTGATATGAGTCCACAAAAATGACGATAACTAACGTCTTTTTGTGCACAGTTTTATAAAAGAAACACATGTAAATTGATGTTTTTGCGCCCAATTAGTATCTACCACTATTAATACCAAATGTGACAGATATACATAAGAATGAGTATGATTGACCGATCAGCTGCAATTACACAGAGAACCAACAGATGATGCTTAGGCCTAGCAATCATTCACAATGTGTGAAAATTGGTGATCTAGGTCATAAAAGAATTGCGTAGGAATGTGTTGACATGATACTTGCTTTATTGGAAGCCGAGGAATCCTCTGCACTTCCACGAGAAATCAATGGAATTTTGAATAAGAGGGTTGGGTAAGTAGCAAGGTTCGTTGTGGCAAAGGTACGCTGAAGAACAATGATGGGTTCGAATGAAAAAAAGGCAGGTACGAAGGACATGAGCTTAAAGCAAAAACGGTCGCTCTAAGACTTTAAGCCCCTCATATCACATCACACCACTTATAAACGAATTAATGTAGCCATTCAAACCCGGACAATACGACGATAATTTTCAGAAAACACGATCAGCAAGCAATGTGACTATGAAACTCGTTAATACCATGGGGCCTTGGTTTGATCGCACAATTTTCTTCTCAGTAAGCAAAAACGGTTGCCTAAGACAGACAAGTCCTTCATATCAGAATACGCCACTTATGATGAAGTTAATGCTATAACCTTTAAAACCCGACAGCGGTGCAAATTACACCACAACGTGACGTCCAACGATATTTTAAACCCAGAGACATGAAGCTACGAAAAAGCACTTATTCCTACGCTTCATTCTACTTTTATACGATGTTTATTATTTTGGTTAGGTATTTATATAAAATAGGAACAGAATCTACACAGCTATTTTGATAATAAACTTTAATATTTTTCAATTGCGTCTTACCAGTCTAATGGTGTGAACTCAAACACAATGAATCAAAATGGAATCAGCTATAGTTTCATTTGATCCAGAAAAAAATTCTGAATTATGTTTCAAAATTTTCAATAGCTAAGCTCACCGAACAGTAAATCACGTGTGATTGAGGCTATCTCACCGGGAACCAACGGAAATCAAGAACAATGACGAAAAGTTTGCAAGACTGTTTTTAAACTGGAAGCAACTCACCATGATCGATGTCCAATGGTGCGGCCCCAAACTGCGCCACCTTTATACTCGCTTGATTCGAAAATGGCGTAAAACAACCCGGAGCCCGTCAAACGTATACAAAATTTATACATTCTGCATCAGGCAAACCAATGGCATGGAGAACAGATCCGGCAATGTGAACTCGTCACCTCCCCGTATCCTCCACTGCTCCCTTGCAACGACGAGATTACCTTCACAAAAACAGCGGGAGAACGAAAGAGACGACAACCCGCACCGCCGGACTCCCTCTCAACAACTCTGAAGATAAATGGGCTTCGAATCATCCTCCACGTGAGCGTCGCCGGTGGTGTAGTGGTAAGCGTGATTACTTCTCACCCCAGCAGGCCTGGGTTCAATGCCAGTCGGCGCCGCCGGTAAGGCATAACATCTCTGATCACGCCTTCGGAAAGGAAGTAAAGCCGTTGGTCCCCGGTTAATGAGTTGATGGGTTGATAGGTAGGGTCCAGGTGTGGGAGCTACTTCCCTGGCGTTGGTAGCATTGGTGCTCAGCACCGAAAACAAGATCAACGGAAAACAAATCAAGGAAAAAATTCCTCCACGTTAACCACCACAAAACTCACATGAGTAATAATCGTTCCGCGCACATTTTCTTCCACTCGATTCCAGCCGCGCAATTATTGACTGTTCTATATCATATAATTTATTTATTTTTTCTTGGCCAGCACTTTCATCACCAACATTCACTCTAAAGACCAACCAACGCTAGCAGCACACTTGTTACTGAACAGTGGTGGTTACTTGTTTGCAACTTATTCCAGCCACAATCAAGTTGCAGCAACTTATTTTGATGGAAGTGTGCTGCTTGGGAAGGGCACGATCGCACCATTATTTCTTTTTTAATTTATGTAAAATAGGTCTCAGCACCGCAATCTAGTGCCAATCACCGACGGACATCGATTGCCATCTATTGACGGCAATCGAATGTGCAGGAAAGCAGCTTCCACACCTGCGTAGGATATCGCATCCATTCAACACACATGGTCACACATCCCTTCCGAAGGAAGACGTGACCAGAGATTTGTATGCCTCAGAAAAAATCCCACCGACCTCAGCTGAGATTGGACCCAGACCCATTGGGGTGAGAAAGCAGTCACGCTTACCACTACATCACTGGCGCAAGCTCGCACCAAAAAGCGAAAAATCTGACAGTTAGACAATACATTTAGCTGTCACTTTGCCTGATAAATTGAGCGCCGCACTTTACTGCCAAACATAGGGCCATTATGAGATGATGATGATATATGATAGAGGTTTACCATCCCTTGTAGCACGGAAACTAAGTCCGACAGTAGTGGGCTCTCTTCTCTTCTTGTCTTGATAAAGCTTAATAACCTCTGATTGTCCTCATCATGTCGCTGTATGAAGGGCCAAAAACGGATTGAGTAGATCGATAGGCAAAGTCGCCTATACGCATCTACAGAACAACAAAGAATCTCCTTCCAGCAACTTGATCAGCCAATTGGTCAAAAATACAAGCCCTCAAACAGGAAGATGCCCCAGTGAGTGGAGAGAAAAGCCAGCCCTTTATCCACGAAATGTTATCAACAGGGAGTTGGCATTCCCACTCCACCCGTCCAAATCGCTTCAATCGGATGCCCTGTTGGACCGTTCCTTCCCTTTTATATAAATATGTACTAGCTGAGTGTGCCCGACCTTGCTCGGGATTCAATATTTGCTTGAATTTATGTGCCGATTCAAAAAAACATGCTATATTTTTCTGTTTCATTTGTATGGGAGCCCCCCCAACAGATGGGGGAATGGTCTCAAACCATCATAACAACCTTTCCCCGCCCCAAAAACCCCTGCATACAAATTTTCACGCCGATCGGTTCAGTACCCAAGTAACAATTCAAGCTGAACATTAAGAACAGAAGCTGATTATTGGTTGATTTTAGGTGTACAATGCTGATTAACATCAGGCTGAATATATAGTTGAATAGTAGTGCATGAAGCCCATAATCCAACCTCAATAAGTTAGCTGATCTAAAGATTGAACAAGCCTTATTTAAGCTTAACACAACTCCACAAATCAGCAATGCATTACACATATTTTGATAGCTTGATTTGTTAAATGTCGTCCGTGTCTGTGTCACTCGTTGCATGTCCTACATTTAAGTTCTTCTAAATTCACTGCTTACCTTTCGAATTACAAGCAGTGGCAGCAGTAGGGACAAGGAAAATGAGATTTATAGGAATAGCTCCAGGTAGAAGTGGTCTGCGACGACGTCGGAAGTGTACATTTGTATTCCTGTGTTTTGTCTGTTATATTGCTAAAAAATATTACTCAACTATGGCATCCAAATGACCATCGAAATAAATCCCATTGTGTTAACTGCTCTTGAAAATGAGAGGAATGTTTTACTGTCACCAGTTGTTGTTTACAATTCTGCATTGCTGTATAATACTCTTCCGGTTGCTGTTATTCAACTTAAATTTGACGTGCTTCATGTTAATGACCATACCTTTTGCCACACATATGCTAACATGGTCCAGTAGGTATGGTTGACGCCTGTGAATCACCAACTGCCGGTTCGAATCCCGAAATGCAAAGGTAATTTTTTAACTTATATTAACAATATAAATATGTAAATTCAATTAGTCAGCAACAAGTCAAAGCAGTTTCATATAAATGCATAAGATATGAAGCGGTCTTCCATTATTATTTTTGAAATAAAACTAGAATGCTGAACAAGGGTTGGAAAAGACTGTTATATAATGCCTTAAAAAGCTTATAATGCATATTATTGTTAAGCGTTTGGCTGATTAAAATCACCAGATTTAGGTGTTTAAAAGCTGAACAAAGGTTAACGTGGTCTTTGTACTGCAATTCCCAGGCAACAATTTGATGCTTAAGTGTTGTTTTTATTCGATTTTAATTCAGTTTTAGATTGAACTTTAACCTTTGTTCAGCTTTTAGACATCTAAATTTTGGGTTTTTAATCAGCCAAAAGCTTAACAATAAAATTCATTATAAGCTTTTTGAGGCATTAAATAACAGTCTTTTCCAAACCTTGTTCAGCCTTCTAGTTTTATTTCAAAAATAATATTGTAAGACCCTGACAAGTCAATTAATGACCTCTGTAGTGATGCAAAGATGAAGATGAAAATGATTTTGACAACAGTATTGTATAACCTTTGTTTATATTTTTGAAATATTTATATATACATAATATATATGTATAACGTTATATTTTAAAATCTTTAAAAAAAAAAAATCTGAATTTTAACTATCGCGTAAAATCTCCCCTCGTTTAATTTTGAGCTACAGTTGGCATAAACAACGAAATCGTTTACAAGCTTGCATACAATATTGTTAATTTTAGCTTTAAATCTTGTAATTTATGCCAAATTATGAGTATTATGGCAAATGATCTGTTGTCCGTGGTCGAACGTCCTTTTTGAAATGCAAAATAATCAACGAGGATACTAAAAGGGATAAATGTTTCAATTGAATTTGAGATCACTTTTGAACAAGCTTTCATCCTATTCAAGACTCACCTGCCGGATTTAGCCGGAGTTTTGTCTGTGAGGGCACAAAATATGTCAATTTTTTACTCAGCCTGTGTAACCGACACCATTTGGACGTCTTCAACAAAGTTGGGTATTTTGCTAATATACAAAAGATTGTAAAACATTAAAGTTCTCTCAAACCTATAGTTTTTTTTTTAATTATGTGATAAAAACTGAAAAAAAAAACGAAATTTTGTGGAACAGTCATATGAAACGCTACGTATCTCAAAAACTACACACTAAGATTTTTTTGCCGAGATGGGCACCACCGAGCAGCTCGGCATTTTATTTTGCTGGAAATTCAGCAAAAAATATGTTTGTTAGCTGAGATCTCGGCAAAATTCCCGTTTGTTAGCTGAATCTCGGCAAGTTTTTCACTGAGACCCAGCAAAATAAAATGCCGAGCTGCTCGGTGGTGCCCATCTCGGCGAAAAAATCTAAGTGTGTAAGATATATAGAGGATTGGTGTTTTCACCAAAGATTGTTATATTAAAGTTATCTACAACTTTGTTGGAGATACCACATACCTATCTTGCAAATGTAAAAAGTTAGATTTTTCAGCGCCACCTGTGGTGGAATTCTGAACTAAAACTTATCACTAGTCTCTGCGCCTTATTTTATAGCAAAACTCTTCCCAATACACCATGGTGAAAAAATCGATATTGAAGGGACACATAAAAAAGTTCGTGATTTTAAGCATTCAAACCACTGTGCAACGCCCACCACCAATATAGGGCCATTATAAGAATCATAAATTATGTTCGTTCATAGGCGAAAGCCGCTTATCTATTAAAAATAAGCAATTCAGCTACTAGAATTGAATGGAAACTACAAATCCTTCCCGCTTTCTCTATGCACAGATATTTGACTAGTCGACATCATTCATCTGTGTTAGATTCAAATTGCCAAAGAATATTAAAAATTCTATACCAGGCCAAATTTAGAAAACTGGCACCGCAACTGCATTAATCCCCCAGTCTCAGCAGAAAGAAGCGGAATCTTCGTAACACAAAGAAATCTTGCTCTTCTATTCCCAAATTCATGGCGCCCATGCTTGCGCTCGGTTGCAATTTCCCATGGGAGGCATCTTGATTTGGTTTTCCCGTAAATAAGCGAACCAAATTCTAAATCCAAAACATTCTCCATAGTGTTCTGCTCTAGTTTGAACAAGGTAGTTCAGTGAGCATCCAACTGTTATTTGGCACCGACTCAAACCCATTCCTCTTGGATCGGATTTTAAAACGTGTGTCTTATTATGCTATGCACATGGCTTTTGCTACGTCCTTCGCTCTCATGCCCTTCTCCTGGCTGGGATCAAAGTTCGGATTGGTGAGTGAAGGGAAAAACCAATTCCTAGTCGGGTAAGGTATCACATCCTAAGCGTAGTAAAATCGAAAAAACGCCATCGAGACCGGTATGCAGCAGAGGAATATTAGATTAACCTTTCTTTGTTTCGAGCAAAGCGGTGAAGAAATATAAAGTCATATACCAAAAATCAACTGTTCATGTGCAACGATGAAAACCCGAAAAACTCCTTTTGACCTGAGAAAAATAAAACGAACTGATCTAAACTTTCTTCAAACAATTAATTTCCAGCCCACCGTTCATTTTGCAAACCAGCATTTTCCCAGGATGCTAAACCACTCGAATGAAAAGAGCACAAACCGGTCCCCCCAACCTCGGCACACCTTTTTTTGCCACTCCCCGAATAGTTTCTACGGTAGTGTCCCACCAATTTTGCCATGATTTAGATTCAATTAAAATCCATTGACCGAATTTCCCGAACCGAAGTACACACAAAAAGCGGGGCGCGGTGAATTGAAACTGAACTGAACTGAGTTGAACCGAGTTTGAACTTGCAGGACAAGTGAAGAGTAACAAACTACCCTCCCGTGTGCTGGTGCTGCGGTGGGCACTGGAAATCCCCCGTCCCGCTACTGCCGTCACCACCGATGAGCGCAAGAGATGCGTTTGTTCGACTAGCTGGGCCAGTTGAAGCGCCAAGTGTTTGGCACCTGGCCTGGATGACAGGCCAGGAGCAAGAGCAAAGGTAAAACGGGCGAAGGAAGGGCTTGTTGCGGTGAAAACCTCGAGCTGAGTTTTCGGGAGAAAATAGATTAATTCATTATAGAAACTTTGGCTTCCGCCCCGGTGAGCACGGCGGAAGCGATGAACCGTGAAAAAAGGATGGTTATTTGTTTTGCTATCGAATGGAGGAGTGTCTTTGCTCGGTGCAGGTTGATTCAAGTGCACTAGAAATGGGAGTGTTTGTTTTACAATGTTTATAATGGCATGCATAGGTATATTATGTGACAGTCTAAGTAAAAGTTTTCTCACTTTATCTCAAAAATCTGCTTGAATATGCGGCAAATCTATTAAAATTTTACTCAGTCTAGGAGTAACCTACTGTTTTGCGAATTTGAGTTGAATTAATCGGCCGTGTACGCTTGGGGTGGCTGGCAAATAAAGCGTGATTGATGATTATCTCGAATACTTAAGAGCAGACATAAAGTGATGTCCGACACGAATGTCACGAATATGGTAAAGTGTCGTTAATTAAATAATAATAATAACAATAATAATAATAGCAGAGCTCCATGACCTCACTGAAGCCGATATTACTGAGGTCCTCGACACCCATGTACATCTGTTGAGTGCTCTTGCTAAACGGATGCGACGGTATGGAGAAAGTTTGAAGCGGAAGAAGGAAAATCGAATGTTCAACACTAACGAAAGATAGTTCTACAACAAAACCGACTATAGCGAAGGACTCCCGGAGATTGGCGATGTAACACAGTTTTCGGTCGATCTTTGGGAGAATCCTGTTCAAAATAACAGTGATGGGATGTGGTTGACAGAGGAAGAGGATAGAAGTAGTGGTATTGTAAGTAAGCCCACGGTACCGGGAATTGGGCTGAACCAGGGTCAGGTTTCGTGCACTGCTTCTGGTTTAAAAAGTTTACCTCAATCAATGGGCAGATGGTAGAATGCTTCAATATGGTACTAGAAGACCCCCAACAGCTACCAGAATTCATTAGCAGAATGGCAACCTATCTTCTGCCATAGTCTCAAAACATGCCTAATCCAGCCAAGTACAGGCCAATAACATGTCTCTCGATCCTGTACAAAGTGCTCTCGTCAGTAATAAATCGGAAGATACAGAACCATTGCAATGTAAACATCGTTATAGTCAAAGAACAGTTTTATTGTCGGTCAGGCGAGCCAGAAAAAGAGAAACCTGAGCATGGCGTACATCGACTACAAGAAGGCGTACGACTCATTGCCGCATTCGTACCTTCTCAAGGTACTGCATTTGTACAAGGCGGACGATGAAGGCTTATGCAGCACGCAATGGGAATGTGGAGTACATCTCTCCACGTTACTGACGGAGCAGTGGTGTTACGGTTCAGCACTCTCAGCTTAAGAAGGGGTATTTTCCAAGGCGATACCTTTTGTCCACTATGGTTCTGCCTTGCGATGAATCCCCACTCAACCAATACAACTATGGCTACTTGAATCGAATCAATCGTGTTCTGAGTTCGTTCCTGTCGGTCGGCAACAAGATAAAGGCGATAAACACGTTTGCCGTACCCCTGTTGACCTACAGCTTTGGTGTGATCAAGTGGACCAAAACAGACTTGGAGGCGATAGAACGAGCAGTTCGAGTGGCGTTTACCAAGCATCGCATACATCACCCAAAGTCGGCCGTTGAGAGAGTCACCTTGCCACGTAATGAAGGAGGAAGAGCGCTATGTTTTTCCCAGATTCAGCAGTTGCGGATCTACTTCGTAGAAAGCCAGAACCATCGCGAAGTCTACCGTGCAGTTTGTGAGGTAGACCATGGGTTCAGCGCCCTGCATCTGCCGCAGGAAGACTACCAGTTGAATTGCGATCAAAAACCTGTCGAAGATAAAGTCGCATGTCGACAAAGTGGCGTCGAATACGTGGCTGGTGCGAGGTGAACTCTTCTAAGAGA